GCTTGCCTGGTATGGCTGGCTTAAGTTCTGACCATTCCCTGCTCAGCTCCGTTCAGTCCTGGCATTAGTGAACCTCGTCACTCCTTCCCAGTTTTCTATGCACTTACCTGCCTCTCTCCTGTTCTTTGTTCCATTTCTACATAGCAGCTCTCTGCGCTTTGTTTTTTTTTTTGTTCTTTTTTTCCGAAAAAGCATGCTATGGTGAATTTACCACCTGTACCAATTATCAGCGCTTGCACTCAAACTTGCGTAAATTCGGTAATGTCGACGAAGTCGATCGATATTTGAGGATAAACAAAAAAAAATGTTGTCTCGTAGATATACTAAAGAGGGAACGGGCAGTTGAATAACGTTGGGCTGTGGAATTTTCGTTGCCATAAATGCAGTTTATCACAGGTTTCTTAAAGTTGATGGAGAGAAAGTACTTAATTGCCACTCAACAAATTACTTCCGAAATTGTAGAAAGACTTCCGAGGTATTAGACGAAAATCCCAGAAAATTAGAGCAAATTCTTGAAAACCAGGCAGTCGCAGTCGTGTCCGTTTTTTATTTCGAAAATGAATCTCAAACTGAGAGAATTCGACTATGCGATTGTTCCGGAATCATTTGCGTAAGTTGTAAATCTTCGAATGATATCATTCATAAAAGTTTCACTAACAGGCACAACCGCTGGATCGCTGGAGGTGCTGCGCTAGTTCTCGGTTACGATGTATCTCATCCAGCGAAGCAGACTAGGGAAGAGATATTGAACCGTATTCCCCCTCAAAAATCAAGCGTAGTTGGAGTAGGATCTGAATCACTTTACATCTCCTGCATTCAAAATCTGTCCAGTTTTCCTTCAAAGGCTCCACGCATTTCGAATATTTCATAGGAGACTATCACTTCCAGAACCCTAGTAGAGAAAAGGTAAGATTCGGTTTACAGTTTTTTGACGGAAGAAAAGTCGTTAACGTTCATCATTTAGGTGGAGAGCGCTGTGCTGAATGCCCGAAATGAAGTGGATGCTGAGTCTGTATTGCCAACATCGAGGGGGATGACCAAGCGGAATTGTAATTACCAGAGATGGTGTATCCGAGGGACAGTACCGAATGGTAATATTTCGACGAGTTTTTCTTGTGAAAGTGGAATGGTTTCGATCGTCCAGCTTGTTGAAGAAGAACTGGGTGCCATCAAAGAAGCAGTGAAGAGTTCGGCCTGTTACATGGTAAAGACTCGTGGATGTCACTTTTCACAGTCATAATCAGGGTCGGGCGTGGGGTCAGGCGCGCCTGACC